CTTGGGACAAAGCTTGCACTCAGGACCTCCTGGCTATCTACTCAGCGTGAAATGGCAGCGTTCACCTGAAATCTCCCCTCCCCTCGAAATGCCACCATGCACGGCCCGCGCATGAGTAGAAACACTTGGGCATTGGAGAGCATGCACGCAAGCATCTCCGGCACTGAGGGGCCAGTACCTAGATGCTGAGCTGGGCAGCATGCCTGTGATCCTGCCCACCAGTGATCCTGCACACCTGTGATCCTGCACACCTGTGTTCCTGCACATCTGTGATCCTGCACACCTGTGATCCTGCACACTTGTGATCCTGCACTCCTATGATCCTGCACACCTGTGATCACTTGCAATCCTGCACACCTGCAGTCCTGCACACTGGGCTATGGTATTCGCATGTCTGTTCTGCAGCCTCTCCTCCACAGAGAAAAGGAAGTGTCCTTATCTTCCTTTTGCGGGTAAGAAGTAGACTCACCGGGTAAAGTCATGTGCCCCAGGCCATACAGGGATCTGAGCCCAAGTCCAGGGCTCCTCAGGCCAGAGAGGAGTTCACCTGCACCGGCCATGGGGCCACCATTATTGACAATACAGCTTTGGTCACACCCTGCTCAGCCCAGGCACACCCACCCGGCTGATATCCTCACTACCATACCTTCCCACTTGCCCCTACGCAGTTCCTTGCAGCTCCTGCTGTCTCTTTGCTCCTGTTGATGTTGTTGGATGAAACAGTCAAATACATAGAAAATAGGAAGAAAGTTCAATCCACCTTAAATCCCACGACACCATCTGTTAGCATTTTGGTGATCATTCTTCTGTCCTGCATTTACATCTGAGGCATCAAGTGAGTGAGCCAGGAGCCAGACCCACCCATTTTGTTGGCTTACACCTGTTCTTTAGCTCAGCATTTGCAATTTTTAAAAATCTAATTGATTATTAATATCACACAAAAATTTATAACTTTACCTATTCTTGGAAAACTGAGCTCCTCTATCTTCATGGTGACAGTCAGCTAGAGCTGAGGACCAGCTGCCCACTTTATGTGGAACAAGCCACTTCATTTTGCCACAGTCCCCACCATTCCCTGTTGTTCCCCAAGTATGTCCACTTCCTTCATTTACTTACCTGCCTGACCCCCGTGAGAGCTCACACCCTGCTCAGCCCCAGCACACCCACCCGACTGATATCCTCAGTGCATTAGGTAGGCACCTACAATAGCTAACATTTATCAAAAACCTACTCCATGTCAACCACCATTCAGACATGCTTGATATGGGTTAACTTGCTTAACTCATAGGAATGATATGAAGTAGGCACTGTTATTATGCCCATTTTACAGATGAGGACACTGAGGCTCAGGGAGGTTATGTCAGCTGCCCAAGACCATGGTGAGAAAGTGGCAATGTTGGGATTCGAACCCAGGCAGTCTGGTTCGAGTCTGCCACTGGTCCCCATGCCATAGACACATACACTCAACTATATGTTGAGAATAATTTTCCATATCAATAAATATAGTCTAGGGTCACCTGTATAATAAAAACAAAAGACATGAACTTACCCAGAAACAGCAAGAGTGAGTATCTGCTGCTCTTGTCTGCCCAGTTTCCCTTCCCTTAAGGAGCCGTCCATCTCCTGGTGATTCTGGTAGGGCTGTCCTCCCCTCACCTCCCTTCTGCCAGCTGGGCTGGGCGTGTGACCCCGGCCTGACCGATCACCGTATTCCTTCCATGCTGTTGCTGTGATTGCTCCAGAGATGGGCACATGCCCCAGGCCCAGCCAATCAGAGTCTTCCCTGAGAATTCTTCTCTAGCCCTTTCCAAAGTCACAGGAGATTTGACATGAGCCTAGAGCTGTCTGTGGCCAGGCTGACTGCCCCATGGAGAAAGTCCATCTAAAGAAACAGCTAAGACAGACTGAGGGACTGAGATAAAAAGAAGGGGGGAGACAGAGAGACAGAGAAAGCACAAGGATATCCCCAAGGCCAACCCCATCCATGACTCTCCAGGAACTGAGCCAGTAAATTCCAGTTTAAGCTAGACTGAGTTATGTTCATTTGAAACCAAAAGATGTTTGAATTCTGCATCATCATAATTCTTTTTAATGACTCGCACTGGCCCATCATCTGAATGCTGCATAATTTATTAACCAGCCCCTGATGAGCATTTGACTCTTACCCAATTCCCTGGCCATCAATGACACTGGGAGGGGCAATTATCTCATTGGGGGAACATTCTGTGAACTTGAACATCAAAGTGTGTTCCACTGCCCTTGACCCTGATCCCTGCCTTTGGCTTCCTGAATTATGGACCCGCCCTAGGTCTAGCCTCCTTCTGTGTCTCTGTGCTACAGGCCCCCAGTAAGGCTTGTGACCAAACCCAGACAAGGAAGACAGGTCTGGGGGAAAACAGGCACATTTTAAAAGCCCCTGGGTTCTGAAGCCCTGCTTGCTACTCGGGTCTCACAGGCCAGATGCAGGAACACTGGGAAGTTCAAGATGCAGAAATGCTCCATCTGCCAGACAAAGGCTGTCTCCAGTTCTGAGTCACTAGGAAAAATGAGAAATCAGAGAAAATTATGAAGGGGAAGGACTCTGAGATTATTCACCCCAGACACACACTCTGCCAGCAGCCTGCCACGTCCTACCCAGCTCAAATGCCTCAACCATGTGCTCCATGAGGGGTGCCGGCCAGTGTCACTCAGTGGTTGAGCACCAAACCATAAACCAAGAGGTCACCAGATCAGTTCTCAGCCAGGGCACATACCAGGTTGCAGGCCGATCCCCAGTAGGGAGCATGCAGGAGGCAGCCAATCAATGTTTCTCTCTCTCATTGGTGTTTCTTTCTATCCCTCTCCCTTCCTCTCTCTCTAAAATCAATAAAAAACATTTTTTAAAAATGCCTAGGTGAAAGCCAGAGGAAGCCAGGTGCAAATGTGGTCCTCTCCCAGTGGAGTCACCCGGCAGGCACTTCATTCCTCCAGCAACAAACTGTGAAAACACATGAAAGGTGTTGTCAACCAAGGATCTCAGCAGAGATCCAGTGCCCACGGTTTTTACTGGGCACCAGCCACGTAGGCCGAGTTTGTACCAAAATCCCAGACTTCCAGGTGGAAAGCAGGTATCTAACATAGACCACATCATTCACACGAGCAACATAGGCACAGTGAGCCTCTTACCAGGGGGTGGCAGGAACCCTTCTACATCCCAGTTCCCAGATGCCAGCCGAGGGCCGCACTTGCAAGCAGGCCTCTCTAAGCCAGACCTGCTATTCTAACACCTTTCTGCACAGGGATTACACCTTTCTCCCCACTTCTCTTTCTGAAACGACCTGGGAAATGTTTTTTTCTTGCCTCAAGCCCAGATTTGTTGAGAAAAACTTAGCTTGCCATGGAAATAATTTCAACAAGTTTCCTAGAAAATAAGCTTGAGTTACGCAAGGACCAGAAATGGGCGGGTTTGAGGAGTCCCGAGAGCACCAGGCTGCAGTTAGTAGGCCTGGCTTCTAGTCCTAAGCTGGCCACTAACTCAAGTTCCTTCTTGGCCAAGCATGTCCCAGAAATGAGCCTCAGCCTTCTCTTCAATGAAATGAGGGCTCTGGATTTCATCTGTATCAGTGAGCTTTTGCTGCATAACAAACAACCCCAAAAGTTGAAGCTTGATACCACAAATGTTTATTATTTCTCACAGTTCTATGGGATAGGAATCTGGGTTGGGCTCAGTTTAGTGGCTCTTCTAGCATTGCCTGGGCTCACTCAGATGGCACTGAGGACAGCTGGGCCTTCCTCCATGTGGTCTCCCATCCTCCAGCAGGCTAGCCCAGTCTGGTTCCCATGGCAGCTGGGCAGGGGTCCAAGAACAAGGATGGGAGCTACAAAACTGCTTAAGGCCCAGTCTCAAAAGTCACATTTTAGTGGTCCAAGGACACAGCCCAGTCCAGATTCAAAGGATGGAGAACTAGCCTCCACATCCTGATGGGAGGAATGGCAGGGTCACAGTGTGAAGGGGTGTGGGTACAGGGAGGGGGGAAATTGTAGCTACCTTTTGCATTGACCGCCCCATTTCCCCTGTGCTCCTTTCATTCTCTTACCCATTGTTTGCACACTTGAACACCCTCTGTCCCCAGCATTTGCCAGACACAGGCTGATGGGGAAACAGATGAATAAATCAATATGTGCCACAAAGTTATAAGGAAAGAGCATTTATTTTATAGATATTTCTTTACACCATACTTTTTTCCACAAAGGATTTGAATCAAACTGCCAGAGAAAATTCAAGCAATAAAACTGAATTTTAACCAAAGAAGAAAACCCAAACCAAAAGGGGAGAGAAGGTAGTGTTTACTGAGCAGCTACTATGTCCCAACTTCTTTCACATATTATCTCCCCCCATCTTTTCCACAGCCCCTTCCAGGTAAGCAAACTGAGGTTCACCACAGATAAGTGACTTGCCCAAGTTCAAACAGGGCTGAGTGGCAGAGCTAAAAGCCACACACCTGAGTTTGGCCCCAAAATCCATATGCTGCCCTAGAACAGCTGCAAAGGAGCTTCCGATTTCACTGTGAGTTTCCCAGCATCCCAAGGGAAGAGGGAAACTGAACATCTTGCCCAAGAGGTCACTAGACAGGAAAAAGCGAAACATTTCAGTGAGGGGAAGCAAAGCCCTTCCTAGCACTGAATTAACTTTCTCTCCTCAAGGGAGAATTGACGAAAGAGCTTGTGGGGTGGAATCGGGGCTCAGCTTAGACTCCAAGTGGAGTGGCCCTTCATTTTATATGTGAGGAGGCTGCTGAGTGCATGCCCACTGTCCCCCAGAGAAGGTCTTGTCTTTGGGTGACCATCTTCCTGTGTGTGTGTGTGTGTGTGTGTGTGTGTGTGTGTGTGTCCCATTGTCTTTCTCTTTTCCTCCCCACCTCTCCCTCTCTCTTTGGCCTCTGTCCCTCCCTTGCTCACACCCACAAGGTAAAGAGAGCCTGCGACTTGAAACTCTGTTTTTTAGGAAGTGCTGCTGCTACGTCAAGAGCCTACGCACAGACCCCGCAGGACAGGACTTCCTCCCCACAGGAGGCGGGGCGGGGCTAGCGGGAAGGGGCCTGTTGTAGCAGAGGTGACACATCTCTGGCTGCCAGGCTGAGCAGCAGCTGGGTCAGCAGTTCACGGGAGCAGTGCTCACCTTCCCTGGAGGCTTCAGCATGGACCTGTGCCACCCAGGTAAGCACCCGGTGCCAATCTCTCAGGCCTCAGTTTCCTCTTCTGTAGAATGGGGCTAATAGTGTCTGTGTCTCAGGATCCTGGCAGGAATCAGTGTGCAAACAGATGTAACACAGGCGGGACATGCAGAAGCATGCAACCCATGTTTATGGGCTCAGGCCAGCTGCCAAGCCGTGCCCCAGGCTGGGAATGCAGGGAACAAATCAGGCACCGCTCCTACCCCCAGGAGCTTACATTCCAGAGGAGAGACAGGCAGTAAACACATTCATGTCCTAGGTCAGGTGACAACAAGCAGAATGAAGGAAGTAAAGTAGGGTAGGGAGGGTGGGAGAGGGTAGTGGAGAGGCCTCAGGAGCAGAGACCTAAAGAAAGACGGAACGGACCGTGCAAAGGCCCGGCGGCGGGACTGAGAAAGGTTGCTTGTGTCAAAGGTGATGGTGTTGGTCACTGTGACCCTGTCTGGGTGGGACTAAGTCCCTGAAGCCCCTGTTTGGCCTTTGGGAGGGGCCAGGAACAGGCAGCTGAGACCATCCCCAGCAAGCAGGACCGTGTGCTGACGGAAAGAGGGAGGGAGGATGCGCACTGGGAATGGAAGAGATGAACAGCTCTGTGTTTCTGTGAGACAGAGAAGAGGGGCCGAGCCTCTGCCCCCAGTCGCAGAATGTTCCGGCACTGCCCGGAGGTCCCGGAGACCAGGGCTGCCTGGAGCTGTCCAGATCCCCAGGCCCCGACGGTGCCGGCCTGTTAGCAACAGAGCCCTTTCTTCAAACCAAACCTAGCATGAAGCAGCCTGACCTGCGCCTGGGGACCCCTCACCCCACAGCCAGAGAACCACAGATCCATTGCAAACCCCGCCCCTCCCCGTTTACGATGGAGCAAGGAGGCCCAGAGAGGGAGACAGCCCTGCAGGTCACTCCCTGCCTCTGACTCCCTGCCCAGTGCTCTCTCCCTGACCCCTGGCTTCTCCTGGGAGCTTTCGGGGCAGGGGACTCACAGACAGCACGGGTCAGTAAACACATCTTGGGCAAGAGGAGACCCAGCCAGGAGCAGCGCCTGGCTCAGGGTCACCCGGCAGGTGCGAGGGCAGATGAGACAGTGAAGCCATTCCCCCCATACCTGCCTTTCCGTCATTATCACTTCATTCTTGGGAGTCTTCACCTACACAGGTCCTTAGCTACAGGGATGCCTGTCCCCATGATCAAATGAGGAGCACGAGGCTCATCAGGGTAAACCGGAGAGGGCGCTGACTTGCCCAAACTCAGGTGCCAATAAACGGCAGAATAGGGACAAGTCCCTGAGAGGAGAGAGAGCCCGGGTTACCTTGGGCTGGGGACGGGGGCAAGTGGCACAAGGATGCCAGCCCGGGAAAGAAATGGATTCACTGAGGTCAATGAAAGCAGGCTGCTGGCAGGTTTGAGGCCTCCACTGATTGGTCCTTCTATTCGCTCATTCATTCTATAAACAGTCCTCCGGTGGGCAGGCCCTGTGCTGGGCAGTGCTGGGGACAGCCCTGGGGAGCTGCTGATGGTGGAGAGGGGGACATGTCTGCAGGGCAATGACCCAGGACAGATGTGCAAATGGGCTCAGACCTGGAGCATGGGAGGAAGCCACTCTTTCCACCTGAGCAAGGGAAATCTGAGAAGACTTCCTGGAGGAAGCAGAAGGAGAAAGGAAAGATCATTCCTGTTACCCAGACTGGGTCTTAACCAAAGCATCTCCATGGCTAGGTGATTACGTCTCTGAGCTCAGGTTGGTCCCCTACCCTGCCTGACCTAAACTAAAAGGGGATTTGGAGTCAGCCAGACCTGGCTCAGTTCCCGGCTCTGTACCAACCTGCCAGTGGTCATGATAGGCCTCAGTTTTCCCACCTGTACAATGGGCAGGACAGTGGTTAAAGTCCCCCTGGGGCTGCCTTTCCTCCTCCAACCATGGATGTGTGACATGCAGAAGCAGGTCAGGCCCCTTCCCCACGGCCTGCCAGAGAGGTGAGAGGCCCAGGCAACAAACCCCCAACCTGACCAATGACAGCACGGGGTTGGTGCATGGAGGCCGGTGCAGTTAAAAATAGAGTAGAGGCAGCTCAGCTGTGGGTAGGAAGCCACACGCTGCAGGCACCCACAGGGCTGGCGGGGGCAGGAGCAGCTCCCCCAGGCAGCCCCTCCTGCCCCAGGGGCCTCCCACCAGCCTCTGGGATGCTCTGCCCTTCAGGCCCCAGGACAGCAGCCTCCCTCTGCCCTGGAAAAGGGGAAGCCAGGCCAGCTGTCTTGGAAGCAGGGCTGCAAGCAGAATGGTTTCTAAAAATACAATGGGAAAGAGGAAGGACAAAGGGGAAGTGGGAGGAGTGGGGCAGATGGCGGGCAAGGGCCACACACAGCCGCTGGGCAGGGGGTGCAGAGGGCAGCCCCAGCCCGGGCATGGGTGTGGTCAGAGCCTAAAAGTGGCCTTGGGGAGCTGCGGAAAGCACAGAGCCAAGTGGGGAGTAAACAGAGCTTCTAGGGGTGATGGTTGTTATTGTCATGTTGTTAATTTTTGTGTTTTATTACTGTTTATTATTATTATTATTATTAAAAGCCTACCCCTTGTGAGCCACACCAGTGTCTGAAACAGGCCTGGAATCAGAGGCTGCCACGCTCAGGCTCTGTCCTTCTCACACTCCCTGAGCCTCAGTGTCCTCGACTCTAAAATGGGAAGAAACCCCCACTTTTTAACAACTAGGTGAAAGGTGAGAGGCGCCTGTGCACCACGCGCTGGGTGCTGCAGTCTAGGGGCTGTCAGCACTGTCCCGCGGGTTCAAATGCACTTGGCCAGCTGCCACCTGCTGGGGGCAGGGCCCGACCGAGGGGACAGAGGACCGAGAGGAGAGTGGACCGAGGGGACTGTGGACCAAGGGGATCCCTGAATCTACCTGTCAAACAACAAAGGAGCTGTATGGAGAGAAATGCAAAGAGCCCCCCACTCCCTCCGCGTGGTCCCACTGTCCTGGGAAAGCTGCTTCCATCCACACCCGTGCCTCAGTGTCCCCAGCTCTGTGCTGTTGGCTTTGTTTTATTTCTTAACCAGAAAGGGAAAGGGGCTCAGACTGTAGGCGACATCCTGAGCCTTATCTTCATTCTCAAACACAGGCACGGCCCCCACTACCGTGCCAGAGAACCCGGGTTAGCATCTGAGGGGGTTTTGATGGTTTGCATACTGATATCTGGCTTTGGGTGATTAACGTCAGCATTGAGGCCTCAGAGCCCCAGAGGGGCCTGGGTGTGAACTGCAGCTCCACCACCTTCCAGCTGTGTCATGTTGGGCAGGTGATTTAACTGCTCTGAGCCTCGGGTGTCTCGTCTGCAGAATGAGATTAGAAATGCCTTCCTTCTTCCAGAGCTGTTGTCTGGTTCAAAGGAGACAGTGGATGGGAAGAACCTAGGGCACACAGGACTTGGCACATAGTAGGTGCTCAACTAGCACGCCTTTCCTTCACCAATGGCTTCGCTTGATCACTGAGCGGTGACGCAATCCCAGACCTGCTGCAGAGTGGGAAGGAGGCGGGGAGAGGACGATGCCCAGAGGAGCACAGGAGGCACCGAGAGGGGCTGGAGAGGAAGAGGAGGAGTTCCTGGGCAGAGAGGGGGAGGAAGGTTATCCTAGGCACGGGGGAACAGCATATGCAAAGGCCTGCGAGGGAGAGAGCACATGAAAGCAAATGAAGGGTAGCCAGAGAGGCCTCAAGTCTAGGGCAGGGGGCTGGGTACAGTGTGAAGTGAGGATGGGGGTGCATCAGCAGGGCTACTGGGCCCAGTAAAATGTGGAGTCTTTATCCCCAGGACAGTGGGGTGCCATGGGAGACTGAATTGGATGGGCAGAGTAGAGGCAGGGAGCCATGGGGAGGCCCTGCATCACCCAAAGGCAGGAGCCAGTGGTCGAGTGAGGGTGAGGGCTGTGCAAACAGAAAGGAGACTCATGGGGCCGGGATATCTTAGGGACCATCCCAGACCCAGGGAACTCAGGAAGAACTGAAGGGAAATTCTAAGACTTCCTTCAAAATGACAAACAAGATGATGGCCAGTGCCCAGGGGGATAGCTGGGTCTGAAACTCCTGGGGGGGTTGGAGCTGAGGGGGTGTGTGTGGCCACGGGAGCCCATGGCTCACCCCTTGACCGTCTACATTGGTGATTGTCTATAGAAATGCCAAAACCCAGCCTGGACTCTCTCCAAGCAGTCCCTCTGGAATCACATGGCCTCCACCAGCAGGTGTACCCGGCCAGGAACCTACTTCAAAACACAACCCAGCTGACAGGAAGACAATAGGAAGTAAATAAACAAAACAAAGTCTGATCTTTCACCCCAAAGTCAACTAGAGGTGGCTGGGTTTTTCCACGATGGCACTCAGTCCCCCTCCCACTCCTGACAGGAGTTCCAGCCTGCAGTGCTGCCTCCCTGCCGTGTCCCTGCTCCTGTCTCCACATGGATGGCCCCTCATTCCTTCCATCCCCACATGTCTCCCCCAGCTGCAGAATCCTGGGACACAGTCTTGGGTACCTGCAAATCAGAGTTCTGATCCTAGCACTGTCATTTCTTGGCTGTGTGACTTAGGGCAAGTCACTTCACCTCTCTGAGCCTCAGTGTCTTAAACTAAAAAAATATCCACTTCACAGAGTTGTCAGGATTAAGTGACACAATTTATATGAAGCATGAAGTGGGTGTGTTTGAGCTTAAAGTTTAAAGGAACTCTTGCTTTATCCCCTGGTGTAAGGGCCACCTCCCCCACCTCCTAAAAACCAGGAACTCTAGGCCTGCAGAGCTCAGAGCTGCAGGAACAGAAAGGAAAACTTCCAAGTGAGTCACTAGGGGATGGCTGTGGAGCCCCTCCCCCTCCTTGTTCCTGGATCTGTGTAGATTACCCACTGGGGCCAAAGCACCATCTAATGGTCATTGATTTAGGGTGTGGAGGGCGGTGCCTATCCAAGCAGGCCATCGTCTCCAAGCTGACACCTCAGCGGCACCTTCGAGCAGGCCAGCATCCACCAGGCCAGCATCTTCTTGTGGTGGAATGTTGAGAGGACCAGCAGGACCCATGCCACATGCTCCTCCCACACCTCCTTTACTGCAAAGAGAGCCCCTCGGTCTAATGCGATGCCATGCGTTGTCCTGCGTCAGAGGACCAAGCCCTCTGGATGCCCTTGGACGCTGATGCTGGCCGAGGCTCTGTGGCAGGAAAGGCCACCAAACACAGAACGTGTGTGGATTCCGGCCCAGACAGATTGCCGGCCTCTGCAGAATAGATGGGATCCAAGATAGTCAACTTGCTACCAAGTTGCTGGGAGGTTTTCTCAAGAAACAATGGGTCTCTGTTGCTGGCAAGTCAGATATTGGCAGTGGCAGGAGCTCAGGAAGCCTGGGCGATGGGTCTCCCCATAGCCTCTGCCCAGGCCACCCGGCCACTTCATTCATGTGCCATTGTACCAGCACCGGGCTGGCCATCAGAGACCGGCCATCCACTGGCCGAGTCACTCTGTCTGCTTGGTGATTTAGTGCCTCTCCTGTGATGGGGCCTGCTGGGGGACATAAGGGTGCTTTACAAAAACCTTCTCACTCTGTGCCCACTCCCACAGGGGCGTCCATTTGCCTCGCCGCAGATCTATCTGCTCCCAACCTTCTAATCTTTCTTCTTTTTAGCCCCCAACCAAGAAGTGAAGCTGCCCTCTACTGCCCACGAATGCATGTATATTCTTACTTCCAATGCTTCTCTTTCCACATGAAATGGATGCCCTGCCCAAAGCCCTGCCCCTTGGGAGAAATTCTCACCACTGTCTTTCCAGAACACCTTTGAGCAGAGCTATAGTTCCGTAGCTGTCCAGTTTTCACTTGTACCTAAACACCAAGCCACCCATCCTGGAACCAAGCTCAGGCATTTTTCTCCTTTGTCAGAAGGTCACAAGGGACCCACCCATGCAGACATGGTGTGAGCCGAGGGACACGGCTTGGTGCAATAGCAGTGGATGGCACAATGGTCTAGGCCATTTGTCCATGGAGCTTACTGGAGTCCTCAGGTTCTGCTCACACTTGTTCCTAGGTGAACCACTTACAAAGAATTGCTCTTGGGCTCACTTGACTTTATGACTTGAAGGGTCAGATGGACACATGTAAGCTGCTTGGCCAAGGAGATCATTATCATATACTATACTTGCCACAGTGTTGCAAGACCCTTCCCTCTGGGGACACAGCCTCTTCTTCAGTCAATAGATTTTGGGTCTGCAAACGGGTTCAAGTCCAGAAACAAGGCAAGGGGTCTTGACTTTTTCTGCTGTGGCTGACCTTTGGGAGGGACATATCCTTAGGTGAGGCAGCTCCATTTGACTGAGGTAGTTTTCTGGGGAGGCATTCAGCTTTGAGCAATCAGAGGCTACCCCCCACCCCCAGAAGCTTAGAGAATGAGCACCTTGGACCTGAAGAGGAGAGCTGTATGGCACAGCATAGCATCCATTATATACATGTTGGACCCTTAACATATGTCAGATACTTGCTGGGTATTTAACAAACTTCAGCTCTTTTAATCCTGACAACCACACTCTAGGTAAGGGTTATGAGTCATGATTCCCAGATAAGGACACTGTATTGGTTAAGTTTCAGGTTTGATTGCTGTAACAAAGAGAATGACGGTGACTGAGACATTCTCAAACCTTATTTCTCTCTCATTGAAAAGTCCAAGAGGGTAGCTGCTGGTCGAGGAAAATATGATGACTTTTCTCCACACAGTTGCCCAGGGCCCAGGCTCCTTCTAGCTTGCTGTCCTGCCATCTCAATACCCAGCTTCCATCTCAAAGTCCAAGACAGCTTCTCAGTCAACAGGACGGATAAGTAGAGAAATAGGCTTGATATTCTCTCTGCATTCATTCAGGACAGATCCTATCTATCTGTGTAAGGCCTTTAGTTAACGTGACCAGACATTTCCCAAAGCTGGGACTTGAAAGTCAGGGAGGATTTGGATAGGCAAGCAGGAGAAGGCATGTGGGCGGAGCAGCTGCACAGGCAAAGGTGGGGCAGTGAGACTGAGAGTTAGACAAAGGGGACAGTGAGCAGCTGGCAGGCTGGACTGGCAGGCTCTGGTTGAGAATGGTGGGGAGAAGCCCGGCTGGAGAGACCAAGGAAACTGTGGGGGATCAGGATGAGGACTTCTTCAAACAATGGGGAGTCCATGGGGATTTTGACTAGGAGAGTGTTGGGGATGGAACAGGAAGCACAGTGGGGGACAGAGATAGGCCAGCTGACCCAGTGTGGGAATCATCATAGCACCTTGCACAGAATTCTGACCAACACACACTTATCTCCTTGAATTCATTTTCAGGTGAAGTGGAAAGGGCTTTTAGAGTCAGCTCAATCCAAGGTCAGCCCTGGTTCAAGAACTTGTCTTTGTGGGACCTGAGCCAGGTCACCTCACCTCTCTGAGCCTCAGCGTCTGGGCAGAAATTCAGATGTCCCCCAAAATCTAGTCTCCCTGTCTCACCATAGTAAGGATGTCAGGACCACCCTACTACAGGCTCATTTCCCAGCCTCCTTTGCAGCTAGGTGTGGCAATGTGACTACATCTGGCCAGTGGGGTATGAGGCAAAATGATATACCACTTCCTAGTTGTGCAAATAAATAAGTGAATAAATAAGTGATCCAGTAAAAGAATAAACGAAAGTTCCAGGGAAGAATGAATGCCTCCAGCAGGTATTTTATTGAGTTCCTGCTGTGCGTCAGGCTCTTCCTAGCTGCTGAGGATGCCGCAGTGAACAAAACAGTTGAAGTACTTGCTTTTATGGAGTGTAATGAATGCAATAGAAAAGATGTGAGTACACAAGATAATTTCAGGACATCTGTGCTGGGAGGTAGGAGAAACAAAAAGCTGGGTAGGAGGGAAAGGTGGGGAGGGGCTGACTTAGATAGAGTGGTCAAGGGAAGGCCTCTTGGAGGAGGTGACACCTGATCCCAGGCTTGAGTGAAAAAGGCTAGCAAGCCATGGGTTTCTGGAGGGAAGAGTGCCCTGAGAGCTAGCCAGTGTGGCAGGAGCTGAGTGACAGGGGAGTGGGCAGTGAGTGGGACAGTGACCACTGGTTCTCTCTCCAGACCCAGGGGAGCTGAGCACTGGGGAAACCGAGGAGCTGCAGCGGATCAAATGGCACCGGAAGCAGCTTCTGGAGGACATCCAGGTGAGTGCACGCTCACACACTCACAAATACACATGTGAGTCCACACACACGTTCACACCAACACACCCTGAAACCCTACTGTGTGCAGAGCGCCCTGCGGCTCTATGCAACTCATCCCATGGTGGCCTCTACTCCCACTTCAGTGGCTCCAATCAGCTCTCGCCCCCGTGCCGAGCCTCAGCTTCATCCCCCCTAAAATGGGGATCATTTGGTCAACATAATACCAATATGTGCCCGGAATTTGCCAGTTCACCAGCTTTTCCGACGTCAGCACATCTGATTCTCAACAGCCTTCTGAGGCAGGCCCTGGTTCTGCTCCTGGAGTCTGAGCAGAGCAGGGCAGGCACCAGTGTGCTTCAGAGAGATGGCCGCTGGTAGACGAGGGTTGGCAGGGGGGCTTGGCTAGAGGGCAGGAGACTTTACAGCTGCACAGGGGGGAGATGGGAAGGCCGGGAATAGGGTGGGGGCTTGGGGACTGTCCCCCAAGTCAGGAGATGGTGGAAGAAAAGTACAGACAGAAGCAATAGTCTGGTCTGGGGCTGGGAGGCTATGAGAGATCTGGGGAGGGGGTCTGTCAGGAAAGATCAGTTTGGGAATCATGCCCAGGGTGGGAGTGGGGGTGGGAGAGGATTGTGGAACCCTTTCTATCCCAGCTTCTGCCCCCCCCCCACTCACCCTAGTCGTGCCCCTCCTCCCGCCACCCCACAGAAGCTGAAGGATGAGATCGAAGATGTGTTTGCCCAAATCGACTGCTTCGAGACCACAGAGGAGAGGTGAGGGCCTGGCCAGGGGGCCCCGGGAGGCTGCCATGGCATCTTCCTAAGGATGTCACACATCATGAATTAGCAGGGCCTGGTCCGGAGCCCTGGTGAAGTCAGGGCTGGGGCCCGGGAGGAGCAGGGGGCAGCGACCGTGAGAGAGGAGCAGGGCGGGCTGCTCCTTGCTCCCGGAGCTCTCTCCTGAGAGGCAACCCTGTCCCTCCACCTTCTTCACCCAAAGTCTCTTCAACACGCCCTGACCCGCCCCTTGACCAACTGCTACCCAGGAGCATCCTGGGATGGGCGGGGGGAAGGATGGGACAGGGAAGCCACAGGCCTCAGGGGAGCAGGAGCCTGGCCTGTGGCAGGGCTGAGGCTGGTCCCCTTCACTCCGTGCTCAGGGTGCCATTCACCTGCCCCTTCTATGGGAAGACTCCACTGGCTCTGTGACCTGGAGTTGCTCCCCTCCCCTCTGTGGGCCTCAGTTTCCCCACTTGTGAGATGAGAAGGTTGGTCCTTACATAATCCCCAAGGGCCCCAGGGCACTGACTCCTATATTCAGTGTCCCAGGAAGTGCCCACCCTGCCACTGCCACCCCTAGCCCTCTGCCGCCTTGATCTCCGCCTGTCTAGCCCCCGCACAAAAGTGCTCACAGGCACACGCCCACAAACTCCCACGAGGTCTCTCTCCAGATTCCCTGGTCAGGCCCCAACAATAACGCATGGCATTTCCAGAGCACCTACCTCCAGCTATTTTCAGGGCTTTAACCTCCCAACAGTGCTGGGACGCAGGTAGCGATGTCGCCCCATTTTACAGATGAGGAAACTGGGTTCCAGAGAGATGAAGCGACTCTCTCTAAGTGGCTCTGACGCAAGGGGTGGGGCGGGTTTGCACCAGGAGGCTGGCTCCACCTGTGCTCTCACCCCCAGCCTTCCGGTCATCTTGCCCACACTCCAAGCACAGGCCCCCAAGTGCTCCCAGAGGGCTCTCAAGGCCATGCTGCTGGGCCCTTGGGAAAGTCTGGTGAGGTGGCTCTTGGGGAGCCCAGGCCCTGCATTTCTCACACTCACAAGGCTTGGGGCAGCCCCCCCTTGGAGGCCCCTAGGGAATACTGGCTCTAGCTGAGGGGAATCCTCAAGGTGTCTGAAGTCCTTGGAGGCTGGAAGAGGGTGCCCCGGTCCTGGGGCAGCCGAACTGACATCTTCCTGCCCACAGCCGGCTGGCCCAGAAGGAGAAGGAGCTGTGCACTGGGCGCAAGAAGTTCAACATGGACCCTGTGAAGGTGGGCAGTGGGGGGCTCGGGCCATGGGGCCGGGGTTGCTGCATGCCAGGCACCTTCATAGTGTTCTCTTGTTCCCTCAACTGACACAACTACCCACCCTACAGACGAGGACACTGGGACCCAGCAGGGCTCGGCATCCTGTCCAGTCAGGGCTGGGGGCTCTGTCACCCCCAGCACAGCAACCCCAGACATGAGGTGGGAGCCAGGAAGTGGGGTGGGGTCTGTGATGTCCATGGACTTGGAGTCCCTGGGCACTAGGCCTGTTTCCTCCCCTTAGATTCTGGGGCTCCATCTCCAGAAGTGTCTTCTAGTCACTGGGCCCAGGGAACCAGATCTGGGGTGCGGGCACAGAGCACTGAGGGTTCACCTACCCTCTCCCCATCCCGGCACCCTCCCCAACCCCACTGGTCTCAGAGCAACTCCAGCCCCCAGCCCTGCCCCCACTAGGTGCTGTGGGCTCCTCTCCTGCAGGAGCACAGACAGAGGAAGCCACAGCTCACACACAAAGGAGCCAGGGCAGGGCAGCCAAGGGGGCCTGGAAATTTACTGCTCTGGCTTCAACAGCTGCCTCCCTTCCCTGTCACAGGTCCACAGTATCACACACCCACTCACCTCCCACTGGCCCAGAAATCGGGCCCCTTCCCCCATCCTGAGGACCACACACAGAGACTAACTCACGGCCCCTGCCCCAGCACCTGCGAAGGGCCACTCACTGAGGGGTCCCCAGGACCCTCTGCCTGTCTTTCAGAGCCCCCCTCAAACTGTCCCCCATCTTCCAGAAGCTTCTTTCTCCAAAAGGAACAAGGACATGAAGGAACCATCATAGAAAACCAGGGGCCAACCTTTCAAATTCCTGTCTACCTCCAAGTGGTAGGACTTGGGCAATTTCTTCTTTTGATTTTGCTATTTTTTCTAATTTTTATGAGATGGACACAGATTACTTGTATGAAAAAAAAAAAAAGAAACACTATTTTTAAATAATGTGAACTTTAAGGGGACAAAAGGAATGGCTGAATCATTGAATCTTAAAATTTTAAATCAATAGAATCATTGAAGCATATAATCAGAGAATCAGACTGAAGGGAACCCTGGGGAGTACCTGGCATAAACCTGGTTCATTGCAGAAAGCATATATCTTTCTTCGCACGCCTCCAGTGATGGGAAACTCACCACCTTACAAAGACAGTTTTTATTTAGGAGCGACACGCCCTGGTCAGTGTGATTCAATTGGTTGAGCACTGTCCAGTGCACCGAAAGGTTGCTGGTTCAACTCCAGGTCAGGGCACATGCCCAGGCTGCAGGCTCGATCCCCAGTAGGGGGCGTGCAGGAGGCAGCCGATTGATGTTCCACTCTTACATTGATGTTTGTCTCTCTCCCTCCCTCCCCCTTCCTCTCTCTCTAAAAATCAATAAAAATTTTTTTTTAAAAAAGGAGGGGCACAACTTCCCAGAAGAGTGTGTGCCAATGCCAGAATGCTAGGCCACAGGGCTCTGGCCGCAGGGGCTCCCTCCCTTCCTCCTGCCAGGCTGGCTGCTCGCGGGGGCTGCTCACGGCTCTGTTCCACTTCCAGGGCATCCAGTACCTCATTGAGCACAAGCTGCTGACCTCCAATGCCCAGGACATTGCCCGGTTCCTGTACAAGGGCGAGGGCCTCAACAAGACGGCCATTGGCACCTACTTGGGGGAGAGGTAAGGGGCCGGGGCCTTAGGGAGGCAGGGAATGAGGGTGCTCGGGGTGTTCGGTTAGTGTATATGCGCATGTGCAGGTGAGTGAGGGAGTGCCTTCCCTCTTTCCCTCCTTCCTTCATCAACAAGTAGATATTTGTTAGTATTTATCCTATGCCAGGCACTGTTTTAGGCCTTGGATTTATACCAGCGATCAAGACAGATGAAACTCCTGCCCTCAGGGAGGTGCATTCCAGTGGGGAAGACAGATTCCCAAATATGTAAAACGTGTTAGAAAATGATAAATTCTTTGGAATACAAATAAAGCAGTGAAAGGAGGTGAGAGCGCTGGGGACCGCAGGTCAAGGGCTGTGGCTTCAGTGTGGACAGGAATGGCCTCACAGAGAGGTGATACTTGACTGAAATTTCAAGGAGAGCAGAGTAGACATCTAGGGGAAGAGCATTCCAGGCAGAGGGAACAGCACGTGCAAAGGCCCCAGGGCAGAAGTATGCGCAAAGCACAGTAGGCTGATGAGACTGGAAGAGAGCAAGGGAAGGAGGGAGGAGGCAGGAGGCGGCGAGGTGGGGATCCGCAGCAGGGTTCTGGGCAGAGGAGTGCTCTGAGAGGACCCCTCCAGACGCTGGGTTGGGGTCTTGGACTGTAAGGGACCAGGGTGGAGCTGGGCCAGCGAGCTAGCAGCCCTCCTCCCAGGCTCCCCAGAGGACACATCTCTTCTCCCGAGTGAGCAGGGAACATAGGTGGCAAGAAGGGCAGCACCTCCCGTCTAAGAGCTGGGAAGAGGGAGCAGCATGGTTTGCACAGTTGTCTCCATTGTGCAGATCAGGACACTAGGGCTTGGGGAGGTCAAGTGGCTTGAGTGGTGTCACCAGGCAGGCAGTGACAGAGGAAGGATTTGACTCAGGGGAAGTCCCTCCCAAGCCAGATTCCTGTCCCGGGTGAGAGCGGTGCTGGTGAGCCGGGAGGGAGGGGTGCTCATGTGTGGGAGGGCATGCTGTGCACATGGGGGGGATTTGCTGTGGGGTCAGATAGTTGTGAGCAGGCCAGATAGTGACTGGATCCAGAAGGAGGACATCTGTCCCCTCCTGTTCTTCCCCCACCTCAATCCCCTCCAGGAGGTAGATACCAGCAAGTTCCCCAGTGCATCCCTCCCTCCCTTCTGCCCCCTCCCCAGGGACCCCATCAATCTGCAGGTCCTCCAGGCCTTTGTGGACTGCCACGAGTTCGCCAACCTCAACCTCGTCCAGGCCCTCAGGTGAGCGGTCCAGGGCCCGGCCCTCGATGGTGGCACAGCCAGGGTGGGGGATGTTGGAGGCATCACAAGCCACATGGCTGATAGCACAAAGCGTCGGGAGCAAAGATGAATGAATGACAGTGGCTGCCCCACACTGGGGTTGGGCGAGACCATTGGCGTGGACTGCCTGGACAGCAACTGTTCATTATTGCTGCTACCCCTGGAATCAGTATACGGCAACATCGCTATAATAACATTTCATCATTGTAATCATTGTCACTGTTATTACTGCCATTGCCACTACTTTCCAGAATAGTGCTTATGCTATTTATTTTATTAACACAGATTAGTATGCATTGCATCATTATTATTTTCTAATTCGAATATTATTGTTCCTACTCATATTTACAACTATGGGAGGCATTGTAGTGTATCGGTTAAGAGCACAAGCTCTGGAGCCAGACTGCTAAGTTCATATCCCAGTTCTGCCATTTGTCCCCTGTGTGGCCTTGGGCAAGTCACACACACACACACAAAAAAAAAAACCTCTCTGTGCCTCAGTTTCTTCATCTGTAAAATGGGAATAATAATAGTACCAACCTCATACAGTCATGAGAACTAAATGAGAAAGTGCTTGGAGTTGGGCCCACAGTAAGTGTTTAGGAAATCTTGAGAAACTGGCTCCCAAAAGGGGGCATTTGAGCTGGGCTTTAAAGGATGAATAGGAGTTTTCAAGGCAGAGAAGAAAGAAGCCACCACTATCCGGGTAATGTGGCCTTCCCTCCGACTACCATGCTCTTTGGGGGAGAGGGCGAGTTTCCAGTATTCATTCATTCATTCACTCATTCAACAAGCCTTTTTGGAGCAGTACCTGGGCGTCTATGCGAGGCCCAGAAAGAGATGTGGCAGGAACAGGAACAGCCCTTGCCCTCAAGATGTGGAATTTAAAGCTGTGGAAATCCTCGCCTTCCAGAGCTGGAAGCTTAGGTTCCAAGAAAGGGAGTCCCAGCCAGGGGAAGGCACTGGCCCAGGGTCCCACAGTCAAATCATAGGACCTGACAGCGAGGCAGGAGGTGCTGTAGAACCTGGGGCCTGCAGAGGCTCCAGGCAGAGGGCAGCATGAACTCAGCTGTATTCTGGGGGGGGGAAGCCATTTCTTAGAAACCTCCTGCATGCCTGGTATTTGCCAGTACAAATCCCACTAGAGCTTAAGGAACACGTTCCAATTCACCCATCTATGGGATAAAGAGACTAAGCCTGGGAGGGGCAGAGAGGCTTGTCCAGGTCCCCCTGACAGCCCCACCCACCCTGCCGCCCACGGCCCCGTTCCTCCCCCAGGCAGTTTCTGTGGAGCTTCCGGCTGCCAGGCGAGGCCCAGAAGATTGACCGGATGATGGAGACCTTTGCCACTCGATATTGCCTCTGCAACCCAGGCGTCTTCCAGTCCACAGGTGCCAGTGGGGGGGGAGCTGGGCTCTGGAACCCCTGCAGCATCGCCAGGCACAGATCTGCCTCCCAAAGCACCATGGCTACCCCACCCCCTCTGGTTTTCTGCAAGTACCCAGACTCTGGGAGCCCAGATCATTCTAAGCCCTCACTGAGTGCCAGCCCTGTGCCAGACCCTCTGTTGGGTACTTGTTGGGCAGAGCTGCCTTGGGGCATGCTCCTGGGCAGAGGAGGCAGGAAATGATGGCACAGGGCACTGGGGCAGAGGCACACCTAAGGGCGGGAATGGGGGAGTCAGCATGTCCAGGGTGGCTTCCCAGAGGCAGTGGAGTCTGAATGGGATTTTGAAGGATGAATAAGAGCTCTCCAGGAAGTCAAGGGGAGAAAGGGCCTTTTGGGCAGGAGTTCTAGTTCGAACAGAGGCCCAGAAGCATGAAACAGCCTGAGCAGGACATAGGGGGCAATGAAACATGGAGGGATATCAACAAAGGTCAGCTCTCCATACTCCCCCACACAGCACGGATGAGAAAACATCTTAGCAGACTTATCCTGGCCTCTTCTCAGAATCTGAAGTTACCATAACAACAATAGCCACTTTTATTTACTGAGTACTCCCCATGTGCTGTGCTTTACCCATATGAAGTCATTTAATCCCCACAGCCAGTCTCTGAGTCAGCAGTACTCTCAGCCCTGCGTAGAGTACAGGCTCAGAGAGGTGAGGCGACTTGTCTACTGACACTGCTTCAGGCTGTGTCTCCAGGGACAAGTTCTACAGAGCCTTCGCCCTGGCTGCCAGTTATACATGATTTTAGTGTTTGCTTGTTTTGTTATCTGCCAGCTCCACAAGTCTAAATGCCCCACAAGGGTGGGACCATATCAGAGATAGGCACCAGCTACTTTCCAGCCCAAAGCACTTAGTAGGTACTCAATAAATATTTGTAGGAAGGAAGGAATTTGAAAGCATCAGATGTGAATCACAGTCCAACTATTTCTTATGTAACTTGGGCTTGTAACTTAACCTCCTTGTGCCTCAGTTTCCTCTGTAAAATGGGGGCGGTGACAATACCTGCTTCATAGGATTGTCATGGGGATGGGAAGAGCTTAGCACAGGGTGAGCCCGAACATTAGGTGCCACCGTCATCAGAGGTAGAATCATCAAAGTCCTAGAATATGAAGCTGTTTCAAAGTTAAACCTCCAAATGTCAAATGGGGAAGCAGAGGCTCAGAGAGGTCAGGGACTTTCCCAAGGTCAACCAGAGAGCTGGGGACATAGCTAGACTTCCCTGGCTCTGGGTACCCCCCCCCGAGCAGCAGTCACTTCTCTCCCAAATGCTCTGCCCAGCAGCCCAGCCTCCCTGCCCTGCATGGGGACGTCTGAATCAGAGAACAGGAGCTCTGGCTCCAGAAGCCCCACAATGCAGTCAGATTACCAAGCAGCATGTGACTAAGCCCTGAACAGCGGTGCCAACAATAAGTGTTCCTAAGATCCAGGAAGGCAGAGAACAGAGTGGGCAGAGGGGCTGGAAGGGCTCTGCGGGAGGAGGGCTGGAGCTGTAAGAGAAGGAGGGTTTGAAGGGGTAGAAAAGGGAAGGGGAGGGATGCCCGGCAGGGGACCCAACAAGTGCACAAGCGCAGGGCTGGGAAGGCACTGAGGGCTCACGGACGTGACTACTGAGTTTCTTTGGAGCAGGGAGTCCAGTAGGAGTGGAAGGGAGGCCAGGCCTCAACTGCCGAGCCAGGGGGACAGGGTGGACCTCTGGGCCCTTGAGATGGCTGATCCTTGATCCCTAGAAGGGGTCAGGGCAGAGGAGGGGAGAGGGACCAGGGCCAGGACTCTGACCCACTGTCCCAACCCACAGACACCTGCTACGTCCTGTCCTTCTCCATCATCATGCTCAACACCAGCCTCCACAACCCCAACGTCCGGGACAAGCCGCCCTTTGAGCGCTTTGTGTCCATGAACCGTGGCATCAACGATGGCAGCGACCTGCCTGAGGAACAGCTACGGGTAAGGGGCATGGCCTCGCCCAGCCCAGTCCTTGGGCATTGGGAGGGGACTGTCTTAGATGGCGGCCCAAGCGGGGCTCCTCTGAGATGACCCTTGAGACAGAGACCACCACGAAAGAGGCTGATCCTGAGATGGCCCTTCCCAAGTGGCCTCTCCCCTGAGAAGGATGTCTAGAGATAGCCCACCCAGGAGGTCCTGCCAGACTTCAAGTTCTGGCTCCCATCATTCACATCATCCAGAAAGGTACCTCACGCAGCCCAAGTCTATTTCGTGGAATCCCAGGTACTTAGATTCTTAGTGTGTCAGAGCTGAAAATCCTCACGCTGTGCCCAAGTCCTCCCTCCTTCAAAAGGGAGGAAACTGAGGTCTTCCACCAGGGCTGGGCAGAACCAGGGCCCCCCGTCTCCTCATCAAACAGCCCCCACCCCTGCCACTCTGACCAGGCCCTGTGCCCAGCACAGAGCACCCAGGGATGAATCAACCCAGGCCCTGCCCAGACCAACTTCAGAGTCTGGTGGGAAGATGACAGATACATGTGTGAATTACAACCCTGGGTCATTCATGCTATGCTAGCTATGGGAACACAGCCATGGAGACACAGAGGATACTACATCACTCTCCTGGGAGCAGGGGAAAGGTGTCATCCTAGAAGATTCCACAGAGGAGGTGACTTTTGAACTGGGCCTTGAAGGTTGAATAGGAGTTTCCCCAAAGAAGTAGAGAAAGGACACTTCAGAAAAAGGAAGTGGCCAGATCCCAGGCCTGGCCTGGTTGGGAAACGGAGGGGAGTCCAGGGTGGATGGCTGGGCTGTGGGTGCATATGGACAGTGTTGGGTGACAAGTGGGACCAGAGCGTCCAGGGCTTTGAATGACAGCCTCAAGAGTTTGCCTGTTTTCTATGGGCAACAGGGAGCCAGGAGCAGTTTTGTAAACACTGGAGTGAGATCCAGAGCCTGGCTCAGCAGAAATGAATTGACAGTTCGTTTCTAGGACCAGAGATGGCCCAGAGCTCAAGGGAGCTTCAGTCCTTTCCAGGTCAGAGCCCAGAAGGAGGGGGGAGAGAGTGTGAACCCCATGCTCCCAGCTTGGCACCCGCAGAAGTGGGGGGGGTCTGAAATGATTCTGGTGCCCCTCCTTGTTTGAGAAGGGCCCTTAGCCTCCACCCTTCTTTGTCCCAGAAGGGGAAGTTGCCCATGGTGGGGAGCTCAGGTCAAATCCCATCTGCCCCTGTGCTTGCCGAGTGACCTTGGGTAATGACTCACCCTCTCCCAGCCACCGTTTCCTCAAACAGAACAGGGATAAAGACGCCTGCGTCACAGAGCTTCTCTGGGGGTAAATGTTTTAAATGTAAAGGGCATCACCCATGCCAGGGACATAGCACAGGCTCTAAACAGTGGCTTAGGCCACGGTTAAGAATAATGAATAATAATTTAACACCCTGGCTCTTAGTAAAATGCCAGAAACATAAAAGGCACTTGAGAACTGTTGACTCATCTCATTGTGGTCCTCGTGGCAGGAGGCTGGGTACACTCTGTCTGGCAGTTAATGAGTTAATGACAAGCCGGCGCTAGTCTTCCAGGTGCCACATTACAGCTCGGCCCCCAGTGAGCCTTTTTCAGCATCTCCCTCCTTGGGTATTTTTCTCAATTTAAGGCTTTTGTTGATAACAATGTGTTGCATTTGTATAGTGCTTGTAACTTTCTACTCCTAGGGCTTTCTGGTCTATTATCTCTATTTAGCTTCAAACTCCGCCTGGGAGGTCTGGGAAGAGTTTCTTATCCTCCCTGGCAGCCAAGAGAGGCAGGGACCGAGCAGGGAAAAGAACCGAATGCTCAGAGGTCAAGCCACATCCAAGTCCTGGTCCCCAGCTTTCTGGCTGTGTGACATTAGGTATGTGGCTTGACCTCTCTGAGCTCCCAGCTCAGAGGATTAGTGCTGAAAGGTATGGTGTTCAGCAAAGGGCCTGGATTATTTGGAGGGGCTAATTAATCCAGAAGCTTCCAGGGGCACAAAGGGAACCACACAGACCCGGTCCCTCCCTGGTCCTTGCTGTTCATAGGTAGCTGCTGTGGCTTGGGGCAGTGGTTTGGTGGTGGCAGGAGCAGGGGTGTTTTCGTGAGGGGGCGGGGCTGGTGTTTACAAGGCACAGGAAATGTGGGTGAGTGAGCTGAGCGGCTTTCCTTGTGGGGGCAGAATGTGCAGACAGATACGGCGCCCGCAGAAGCTGCCAGGCCCCCAGTGGGCATCGTGGAGGCTCCCCTGCCCGCCTCTCCAGCCTTCCAGATAGCCGCTTTGCTGACAAGGCCTTCCTGCCTCGGGCCCTCGTTTAATCAGCCTGGGCCTCTCGGGAATTCCCAGGGCCAGGCTCGGCAGGGTGGGAGGAGCGACGGGGCTTCCCGGCTGCTCCAGGGAGTGCAGGGGCTCCAAAAAGAGCAACGGTCCCCGCTCTTCCCCACGCTCAGCCACCACGGCAGGCTGAGCCCGGGGACTCTGGTGTCCACGGTAGGAAGGTGCCCCTGCCCAGCCCAGGAAAACCTGCCTCCAGCCTGCCTCAGCCCCTCCCCCCAGCACTCAGCTCAGAAAAGACCTTTAATAAGCAAACACCGTTTCTAAAACTTTGGGGGAATCAAGCAGCACTTGGGAGATTTTTCATTTACAATTTTGAGGAAACCATCTGAACAGCAGTGCACACAAATGCAACAGAAAGAAATGATTTAATTATCTTAGAGACGGAGAAGCAGCACGCGTCTGGTTTAATAAGCAGAGAGACAGCTTGGAATGTTTTCCCAAATACTCGGAAGCCTGGGCAGGTTATGCAGGAAACGAAGGGCCCAGAGGGCCCAGAACACACAGGGGTGACCCATCACCAACGGCCACAACTCGCCCGAAGGGGGGTCTCAGTCCTGGCTTGCATAGCTCCAGGGACAAGGCATTCATCCCCCTACAAGGCTGCTCCTTCCACGTTTCAGCAGCTCTAACTGCTAGAAAGTCCTCCGTGGAGAACTGAAATCTGCTTTCCTGGAACCCCCACCCCCGCCACAGGAGCCCACCCAGAACAGGCCTTTGCCTTTGAGAGCCAAGGTCAGCTTTTCACCTTGAGCGTCTCCTTCAGCCAGACCAGTCCCAGTTCCCCACAGCTCCTCCGTGTTCCCCCACCCACGGTGCACCTGAAGTCTCTGGGGCTGCACCTAAGCAGAGGGTGTTGCCAAGGAGGCCTTGACCTTGGCCGCTGTGCCCCAGAGTGTGTATCTATGTGTGTGTGTTTCTATGTGCGTGTGTTTCTGTGTGAGTGTGTTTCTGTGTGTGTGTTTCTATGTGCATGTGTTTCTATGTATGTGTGTATGCGCACACATGCATGCACTGTTGAACATGTGTCTGGGCACACAGGTGCCAGCCAAGTGTCCTTGTCTCCAACACCCTCAGACACAGGGGTGACAGTCTTCAATTCGCTCATCTGACGTAAGAGCAGCACTTGGTGGTCAGAGTGCAAGCGGGGGCTGTTCTCCTCCCTCCTCACACCTTCCCTTGACTTGGAGAAGGGCTCCGACCTCTGTGCAATCTATTTATTACCCCCCAGAACCCTGGCCACTCAGCCTCGTTCTTTCCATTTATGGGATAAGGGCACAGCAGCTCAGAGAGGTTGAGGGACATGTCCAGGGTCACACAGCCATTGAGCGACCAAGCTGCAATTTTAACCCAGACAGCCTGATACCAAAGCCAGTGCTCCTGTCCCACCCTGTCATGACATTTTCATGCCACTGGCTGGAATTCTGGGTAGGGGGCTGGGAGGTGAGCAGCATGCATTCAGTCAGGAAACAGTTGCCAACCTGCTTTAGGCCAGGCCCTGGGGGAAGCCCTGGGGTTGTGACACCCCGGCCTGCCCTAGAGGAGCTTCCCCATTTGGGAAGGTCAGCAGCAGCAAGCAAACAGGTTGACACACTGACAGCATGGGGGCCCTGCGTGAGGCAGGCACATGCTCTGCACTGGGGGAGCCATGACATAGCGGGGCCAGGGGAGCACGAGTGGGCCTGGGAGAACCACGGAGAGTTTCGCCGAGAAGCGCAGGGACCAACAATGAGCTAAGAGGAGAGGAAAGAGTTTGCCCAAAAGCCCAGTGACCTGCCTGAGGCCACACAGGTCAGGCCAAGGCCGGGCCCCAGGGTGGGACGCACGTTACAGCCAGGTCTTTCCCTCCCTCTCTCGGGCAGAACCTCTTCGACAGCATCAAGAGCGAGCCCTTCTCCATTCCTGAGGACGACGGCAATGACCTCACTCACACCTTCTTCAACCCTGACCGCGAGGGCTGGCTGCTCAAGCTGGGTGAGACAGCACACACTCAGGCAGCTCGGGCACGCTGGGCACACAGCTATACACGCAGGCACATACAAGCACACGCATTTACATGCCCGCGCACTTGGGCGCACGGCGGACACACACACAAGCTGACATGTAGCCTCGGGGTGGAGTGGAGCCGGGCCCAGGTCTGACTCCCAGTGCAGTTGTCTGCCTGCCCCATCTCTCCATCTGTCTGTCCTGAGAAGGAAGGGGGCGGTGGGGAAGGGGAAGGACAAGCGGGAAGGGGGGACAAATGCAGACAGATCCACAGACAAACCCTTCAACTGCAGCCTGTCTCTCTTTCCCAAAGGCTGCCGAGGAAACTAAGGTCCAGGGAAGTCAGGGCACCTGCACAGGGCCACGCAACCAGCAAAAGGCAGATTTGGGTGGGCAGAGACTTGGGTGTCCCCGAAGGACAGAGGAAGGGGGGCTGGTGACAGAGGGACAGGATGTGACTCAGGGGAGCTTCCCCTCATATGGGGGCAGGGAGGGCCTCAGGCCTGCAGACAGGAGCTGTGGTGGGTGCTGCGGTGGGGGGCCGGCAGCTGCAGGAGCTGGTGGGGGAACCGCAGGACCCAGCCGCCTGCCCCGCCCCCACTCACACTGCCGGACGCCTCCAGCAGGGACGGCTTGGCCAGGCACGGTGGCCTCCTGACACATGCTGGAGCGGGGACCCGGGCCGGGGTGCCTGCGTGAGCCCGGCACCTCTCCTCCCACAGCCCACGCCGCCTCCTTTCTTGCCCAGCCCAATGTTCTCGGGCCTGGGGAGGCTCTAAGCCGCAGATCCCTGCTCCCCCACCTGTGGGCTGCTGGTCCCGTTGCTCAGCCTCGGCTTCTGCAGCTGTGAAATGGGGAAGATAAATAATCACTGGGAGGGTAAACTGTAGCAAAACGGCCGGGCACTTGCCTCCAGAGCTCGCCCACCGGGGTTCGAATCCCTGAGCAGATGGCTTGGTCTCCTCATCTATAAAGTGGGGTTAATACTGATCTCCTCGTAGGTGATTTTAGAGATAAATAAGTGAATATTTTTGTAAACCCCCTAGAACGTTGCCTGGCAAATGAAAGATGAAATGCTTGGCCCGGCGCCAGGCAGGGAGCAGGCCAAGGGATGGACCGCGGGGGGAGGGGGGCAGAAAAGCTCACGGAGTGACCAGCCACTGTCTGGGGCCTGCTCACGGAGGAGCCTCAAGTGCTGGGTCAGGCAGCTCAGGGGAAGCATGGGGGTGGCGGGAGCAGCTAAGATTTTTGAGTAAGGAGGGAATAGATCTGGGGGAAGTGCATCAGGGTAGGCGTTGGGGGTTCAGGTGGGGGAAAGCATCCAAGGTCCTGGTCCTCCGTGGAGGGAGTGTCGGTGGCCCCGGGAGGAGGACTGACTCTGTCACTGACCCCATGCAGGAGGCCGCGTGAAGACGTGGAAGCGGCGCTGGTTCATCCTGACGGACAGCTGCCTCTACTACTTTGAGTTCACCACTGTGAGCTGCCCCGCCCCGCCCCTTACACCCTTCTGCACCCCCACTAAGCAGTCCCCTCACGGAGCTGGGCCCCTTTGAGATCACGCAACCCACCTCCACACCCATTTTACAGATGGGGAAAACTGAGCTACCAAGAGGAGGAGGGGCTGGGCCAAGGGCCCAGGGACTCAGTTGGGTCTCCTAACTCCCAGCCAGTGCTCTCTCGGTGCTGCTCCCCCTCCCCCTCTAGGGCTGGACAGAGTCTGGGAAGATAGGGGCACTCCTCTTGGGTTTGGGGAGCCCTACAAGTTCACTCCCCTGTCCACAGTCTTTCAAGGCTCCAGTTGCTGATCCTGACCTCCCCTCTCCTGTTCCCCTGCAGGACAAGGAGCCACGGGGAATCATACCCCTTGAGAACCTCTCGGTGCAGAAGGTGGACGACCCCAAGAAGCCAGTAGGTGTTGGAGTGGGGACCTGGGAGGCTGGACTGGCTGGGGAATTTCTAAAACAGGGTGGGAGGAGAGGGCGGCTGGGCTGGGCTCTCCAGGAGGCTAGGCCAGGCCCAGCACACCTACCAGGGGGCTCAGGGTTGCCTCCGTCTCCCTCCTGAGGTCGTGTACCCTTTGCCTGCCCCTTCGTCTCACAGGAAGCAGGCCTGGGGTGGAGTGGAGGGGTGCTGCTGCTTGTTGGGGTACAGGTCTTGTCCTCTCTGAGCCTCCTGGAGAGCCCAGCCCAGCCAACCTCTCCTTCCACTCCTGCCCTGCCCTCACCTGGCTGCCTCCCCACAGTTCTGCCTGGAGCTTTACAACCCCAGCTGCCGGGGCCAGAAGATCAAAGCCTGCAAGACAGATGGCGACGGCAAGGTGGTGGAGGGCAAGCATGAGTCTTACCGGATCTCGGCCTCCAGCGCCGAGGAGCGGGACCAATGGATCGAGGCCATACGGTAAGGGACGGTCAGCTGCTAGCGATGGGCCTCCCGTCACTTCCCAGAAGCCCCTGCTTCTCTCGGGCCTTGTTTCCTTGCCTGCAAAGGAGGACAACTCCAGACTCTCTCTCCCTTTTCGGGCATGCAACTCCCTCCCACCCATATTCTGTGAGCACCTCCTCTGTGCCAGCACAATGCCAGGCTCAGAACACAGGGCAGTGAGGCACCAACTTCTTGGGGCTGGTGGGAGGAGCAGGTGAGATGTCACATGTAAAGCTCTTTGCCCAGCGCCCAACACGTGGAAAGTGCTCAGGGATGGTGCTGTAGTTGACATCAGGAGCCAAAGCGGCCCTGGAAAGACCTAGTAGAGATGAAGGGAAGGGTTTTCCAGGTGGAAGGACCAGTGCAGGCAAAGATGAGAGAGCAAGTCAGGGTGTGGCCTATGTGGACAGCACCCCACAGTCCTGGGTGGCTGGTACTGGGCAGTGTGGGGCCTGGCAATGCCAGGCAGTGCAGGGGCCTGGCTGTGCAGGGACAGGGAACTGTGGGGGCTGAACAGTGGGAGATGAGGCTGCAGAGGATGGCAAGGCTTTGGCTGCCATGGCAACAAGCTTGGATTTCTCGGTGCCACAAGGGAGCCACAGACTGGTAAAAGAGAAGGGATGTGGCCAGGTGAGAGAAGCTACTGTGTAGGGGCAATAGAGGGACAGGCCATGCAGAGGCAGGGGCAGATGAGGGGCAGGAATAACAATCTCAACTCTGAACCAGTGGGGCGACGCAGGCAAGGGCGCCTCCTGGAGGCCAGAGGAAGACATAAGAGCAGTCTTTGGACCTGGGTCATGTCCCAGGGACTTGAAGGGTCTTTTCCCACAAGGTTTGCAGCAGCTCTATTAAGCTGTCAGTTCAAATCCACTCTCACATCCCTTATACTGAAGCCCAGAGAGGGGAGGGACTTGCCCAGGGTCACACAGCCAGTGAGGGACAGAGCCAGGCCCAGCAAGCAGGTCTGTTGACTCCATCCCGGTTCTTTCCACCTCCTTCCAAGTCTAATGGGAGCCTGAAGAGGATTCCAGGGACATTTGGGGACAGTTCTCAGGCTCATTCTTTCTGGCCCTGCCCATGGGCCTCTGAATTAGGCCAGCGAGGCTAGACACACCCGGTTGGGGCCATCTGGCCTTTCCCCCCGCAGTGGGACAGGCCCACCCCTTCCTGGGAAACCTACACCCCTATAACAAGCCCTAGGAGATAAGACCCCCTCAATGGCCAGCTCAGCCCTGAAATCCTTTCACCTACTCTCCTTCCAGAGCCAGCATCACCCGCGTTCCCTTCTACGACCTGGTCTCTGCTCGGAAAAAGAAGATTGCCAGCAAGCAATGAGCTTCATTAGAGGGGGTGCTGGGCCAAGCATTCCAGAAACCCCATGACTATGACATCTGGAGACCCACCTCCCAGTCCAGGGCACCCTTTCCTGGCCTGCAGACATCTACCCCCTCCCCCCATTCAAGCAGACTGAAGGGGAAGGCAGAGCTAAGGAGGGTGGATGGGAACAGCTGAGGCCCAGAGCCCGCAGTGAGGCCCCTTGGCACCCAGCTGCTGCCAGAAAAGGCCTGAGGAAGCAGACGAAGAGACACCAGCCCCAGAACCAGACCCCTGTTCTCTCTCTGGGCCTCAGTTTCCTCTTCTGTGAATGTCTCCTCGCACTCTGAAACTCTCAGTCCTCCCCATAGGAGGGGCCGTGGGGTTCCTAAGCTCCATGTCCAAGGCACTGTGTGCCTTCTGCCCCAGTCTCATTCCTCCTCTGGTTCTTGGAAAACTACAATGTTTGGATGGGAATATTTTGGCCTTCTGGCTCTGTGCTCCCTGCCATTCCACCCAGTGAGGGGAGCCACAGCCCCCTCAGGTCCCAGCAGTCAGTGAGCTGGCTGCCTCCCTCCTCTCAAACTGCTTCCTCCAGGCAGAAGGACAGGATTGCACCAGGTCTCCCTGAGGAGCTTCCAGCTGGAGATGTCTGCACTTGTTTACTAAGCTGGAGAGGACTCTGGACTGAACACTGCTGGGGAGCCAAGAGCAGAGTGGGCTCCACCCTCAGGATGTCCATTTCAGGGGAGGAGCAGGCAGGACTCCTCAAGAAAATGGCACAGAACATCCCAGACAGACGTACTCAAGCAGGACTGGTGGTATAACCAAGAAGCCAAGAAGAGAGAGCTTTATGGGTGTGATTGCCAGGAGGGCTGCCTGGAGGCAGCGGCCAAATCAACGAGTGGAAAAGAAGCCCATGGCAGAGTCTCAGCCAAGGCTTCCCTTCGAGACCACTGAGCAGGGTTCCTTCGGTGGTGAGGGGCAGCCCAGCTGGCTCCCCGCATCCTAAGACCCTCTACCAGCAGCACCAGGGGGAGCCGAGCTGAACTCCCAGCAGACTGGCGTGGCAGGTTGGCCCTGTCTCCAGGGAGGCCCCAGCCTGGAGGAGGATTCCTCTAACAGGCTTTTTCTCAGAAGTACTTCTCACCCCCTCACTCGGGTCCTGGGGGAGCCCCTGGAGCGAAGTTCTCTGCAGGAAAGCAGCCTATGAGGTTGCCTCCGCCAGCTTGAGTGGGAGCAGGAGCTAGGTGGGTTCCCCCGGGGAGGGGAGGCAAGCTCTCCTCCCTCCACCCCCACGCTATGTGCACACCTTCCACGGCGTCAGGATGGGGCAGCTCCTGGTAGAGTGAGACCCCCGCCCCTGGGAGTGTGCTAGAGCCTGGGAATGAGATTGCACGGAGGCTGGCCAGCTGCAGGGGGGGCCTCGCAGGACGTTTCAGGGCTTCCACAGACCATGTGCCAGCCTGGGAGCTGGGCACCACCTCTGCCACCTCACTGGCCCGTGAAGGGGCAGCCAGGGGTCGGAGAGGCACTGGTCTGGGGGTCATGGGGCCTGAGGTCCTCTTCTGCCACTGCCATACACGGGCTGTGTGATCTTAGTCCACTCCCGTCCCCTCTCTGTCCTCAGCTCCTCCCCCCTCACTGAGAGGGAATCAGGGATTTTCTGGGATGAGCAGCATGAACCACTCAAAAGAGGGAATAAAAGTCATGATCCACCTCATGAGTGGGCTCTGTCCTCTCCCTCTGTGACCACATCTGCCATCTTTGACCCCCCACCTTAGCCCTTCACTTCATCACCTTCCCAGCAGAAGGCAAGAGGGCCAGACAGGGAAGAGTGGGCACTTGGAGGGCCCTGGACCCTCACCCTCAGGACACCTGAGGCTGCCACACTGGATAGGTGTCCCCAGGGGCTAGATTTGCCACAGGGCTTCCTCAGGGCAGGGATGGGGTGAGCTGTTTCTGCCAAGGCCGGGGAAAGGCAAAAGATCTTCCAGGCAGGCAGTGCTGTCTGAAGAGGAAGAGCTGCTGCCTTGGGAGACAGGTAATAAGTTCCCTGTCTATGGAGGGATACAAGCACAGGCTGGCTCCAGTGATCACTTGAGGTGTTGTAGAGGGGCTTGAATTCAATAACCTTCACTTACTTGTACTTTCCAGAATATTTATTAAACGCCTCCAGTGTTCCAGGCACTGTTCCAGGCACTGGTGGAACAATTCAGAATCCCTGCCCACATGGGGCTTACATCCTAGTGGTTTTGAATTCTAACACTCTAGGCAGCCCCTTCCAGATGTGTAGGGCACCCAGGTGGCTCCCACACCCTCACCCAGCCCCCTGTCTGAAATTCTACCAGTGAGTCACGAAGACCCTAAGGCGCTGGACTGATCAACTTAGCCATATATTTATTCATTCTGCTCCTGCTTATTGAGTACCTACTGTGTACCAGGTTCCACACACAGACAGGAATCCAGAGATGATCAAGACATAGCCCTTGTCCTCCAAAGGAGCTCAGATCAGGTTGGGGAGAGGTGTGAAAGAGCAGGGACAGCCTAGGCCAACCTGTGCTGTTATAGGGGGCACAGGGGCTGGGCTGAGGGGTAATCTGGGGAGGCTTCTCAGAGGAGCTGTGCTGGAGTGTTGACAGCCAGGTGGGGGAAAGGACACATAACTGAGAATGCAGTGAGCTCACCTCATGTCTGTTCCCCAACACACACACACACACACACACACACACACACACACGGGCCAAACTGTCCCTGCTCCAGTGCCTAGGACACAGTAGATGCAAAACAATTGCTGGTTAGACTGAAGTCAACTGAAAAGTCAGCATCAGCGGGTGCAAATGTCTGCAGGCACAGGGAACTGTGGGAAGGGGTGGTACTGCTAGGGGGTGGGGGGGAAGGGGAGCTGGGCCACTTCGCAATCCAGGAACAGTGGGGCCTCTGGCTCACTGGCGCCGGCCCCCATGCTCCTCCCCGGGGAGCCTCTGCCCGCCTTCCCACTGTTGCTCCCCTCCTCGCTCCGGCCGCCAGGGGGCTCCCACCACACATGGATGAGAGGTTCACAAGCGGCAGCCAGACTGGGGCCCAGACAGCCTGCCCCTGGCAGGAGTGAGTAGAGCCCTGGCCTGGCAGCCTGGGGGGGGGGGCATCTTGTCCACTAGACCCACAGGCTCGAGCAGCCCAACAGCCAGCCCGGCAGATCAGCACAGGCCTCCCCGGCCTCACCTTCATGCCAGGCTCCGCCTGGGGGCCAGGATACCCAGCTCTCTCACTTTCTGGCCGTGAGCCCCTGGACCAGTTAGTGGCTTACCCTCTCTAGGTGTGATCTTCCTCCCCGAAGGGCTGGGCCAGCTGAACTCCACCGCACAAACTTTTAACGGGACTTCCATGTGCAAGGGTGTCTCGGACATGGGTACAACACAGCCCCTGCCCTGGGGTGGACGGATACAGGTGTGGGAGAGGGGACGGCAAATGAGGAGGTGCCACAAAAGTGCAAAAGGCCACAGAGGGAGTCCTGAGAGCCACCCAGAGGGCCTGGGTTCAAGGCCCAACTCTACCCTGTGTCCTAAGCAAATTTCCTAAGTTATATGAGCCTCATATTTCCCATCTATAAAACAGGAATAATTGAATATATGCAAAAATACTTAGAACGGCGCCTACTCAAGGTTATGTTAAATGTAATTATTTATTATTGTTGTTATTTCAAGGCAGAATGTGTACATGCCTTCCTGGAGATACAAAATAAGCTGAGGCCATTGGAGGAGGAAAGGTTCATGGAGAAGGAGGGGAAGGTGAAGATCTGGGAAGGCTTCTTGGGAGAGATGCCCATTAAAGCTAAGCAAAGTGGAAGCCTAGCTCTTCCAACCAGTGGGACCAGGAGGAGCCAAAACAAGGATGCATGACAAGGCAAGGGATTTCTTGGACTCTTTGGACCCTCAAAACAAGCCTCAGTGGACCAAGAGGATACAAATTTGAAGAGGGCTGGGTCCTGGCGAGAGCTGAGCTGTGCACACAGTGCTGTAATCCCTTACATCTCCAAGGCCACCGTGCCCCTTGTCATGAAGCTCTGACTGGGGATCCAGTGACAGGGCTGCTGAACAGAGGCCATCGCAGAACTGGGGAGAAGCAGCTTGGCACAGGGTGTCCTGGGATGGAGTAGAAGAGGGGCTCTGAGAAGGCAAATGGGACCCCTGCCCAGTGCCTGAGGAGTGGGAGCACACTGGGGAACCCAGGGCTGGCAGGCGACGGGGATGGGGGGCAGGCAGCCAGCAGTCAAGCGGCAGGTGTGAGAGACCTGGAGAAATTGATTTATTAGGGACAATGAAAGGAGCTAAATATGTTTGCCGGCTCAGTGATGACTCAGACGCTCCCCCAGGGGTCCACAAAGCGTGAGCATGGAAGAGGCAAAGACAGGCCTCCTCCCACCAGGGCTCTGCCAGCCTTGAACTTGTCCTTCCCAGTGATGGAAGGACCACCCACTGAGTGTCCTGCGGGCCTGGCCTCCGAGGGGCAGCAGAGATCCAGCCACTGCATCCTGCCCGCCTGTCCCCTTCCCCCGAGACCTCCCCAGAATGGCTGCAGGGCGAAGCCTCCCAGTGAGGCACATCTGGGTTGAAGTCCTGGCCTTGCCCCAAATTGCTGTGTGATCTCAGGCAAGTGGCTGGCCCTCTTCGGACCCACATTCACC